TGTCTAAAAACAAAATTGTCGGCACAAAGATTATGTGCGTTTAAAATTTGATAGATATTGCCAAATATCTACACACGAATGGTGGGGGTGCCTGTTTCCTTATATCTTCACACTGACTTTATGGTTTTTTTGTTAACCTTTACTATCTGATGGGTAAAAGTGATACTTTATTATTGTTTAAAAATTTCTTCAATTCTGCTACATTTTGTAGCTTCTGGAGTCCACAGCCATGTATTGCTAGCAGTTTTCTTGCTAGGCGGGCATTACTGAACAGATCAGAATAAATTGTGCAATCATATGTCAGAGTCCTGCTCTTGGAACCCAGTTCTCACGAGCACGCCTCTTGCAATTTTTTTTGTCGTTGTCTGGCTTTCAGAACTTGTGCAATGGCACATTCAGTCTATCCCCGGACACAGTGGTGTGGGGAAGTGATCAGTGCTGTAAATCACAACGCAAGTGTTAGATATCATTTTATCTCCATCCCAACGCGTGGATTCCTAACCGATGTGGGTTTGCTGGCTCTGAATGGCATCGCACCCTATTTTCCTGTAGATCAGAGTGTCCTTCTCTGCCATTGTCCTTTGTCCTCACCTGGCTCATAAAGGAAACAGATGCTAATCTAGCCTCCCCTTTGAAGAAAGCTCACCTGAAGCCTGAAAAGAGTACGTGATCTGGTCAAGGTGATTCAGTGGTGGAGCTGGGAGGATGGCCAAGCCCCATGGGGTCAGCGCTGGTGCCAGCTCATGCTGTCTGGAGTGGGGGAAGGATCCAGGCCGAGGGATCTGGTGCCTGCTTCTCGAGGGGCATCTGTTTCCTGAGCTTCCTGTAACTGCCTCATCTCCATGCCTGGGAGAGGAGCATGTCTCATCTTTCAGCTCCCACTGGTGGCTGTGAGGACAGAGCTGCCCAAGCAGAGGAAACCATACTGTCTTTCTCTTCCTCCTGCCCCCATGGGCCTGCAGACACGATGGAGGGGCTGCTGGCAGGGCCTGGGCTGCCTCCTCCTCTGATCCCAGCCAGCTTTCTTGGTTCCATGTCCCTCTAAAGCTCTGCCCTGGGGTTGGGGCTCTGGCTGGGACTTGCCCCCTCAGCTGGATCAGGAACACCCACAGGCCTCCACCAGGGAGGGCAGGGCCTTGTGACTTGGTGACCCAAAGTGGGCTCTGGAGAAGGGGTGAGGAGTAACCTCGGGAGAGAAGGAGCCTGTCTGGCCAGGTGTTGGGAAGACTTGGGCCCTTGCTCTTTCCCACATCATCCTTGTTCTCTCCCGACTGTTGAGATGAGCTTTGCTTTCAGGGCCTTAGTTTCCCCATCAGTAAAAAGGGCACTGCATGAATTGTGGATTTCTGTAGGTTCCGGAGACAGTGGGGCAGGTTTGATCTGGTCATTGGTGCCTCCCGACGCAGATCATCGTACAGAATAGTGGCTGAGAACCTAGGCTCTGGAGCCAGACCTCGCTCTGCCGCCATCGAGCTGGGTAAATTTTGTCAAGTTCCTTAAACCTCTCTGAGCCTCAGTTTCCCCATTTGTAAAGTGGGGATATCAGTGGTGCCATCTCAGAGGTGGTTGTGAGATTGACACAAGCTAAGCGGTGAGGTCAGCGCTGGCCCATAGTAAACTCGCAGACACAGGCACTGCCCCTGGCTCCCCTGTCCCCATAGCTTGTCCCTCATCTCCATTCTGACGCCTGGCAAGCTGAGTCAGCCAAGGTCTGGGAGGAAGCTGGGCTGTGCTTGGGGAGGGCTGGAGGGCTGGCCCTGGCTCACAGAGTGCTTCTCTTTTCTCTTGACTCGTGGTCCTTCCTAGAGACCCCGTGGACCCCTTGCTGTCCACGCGCACAGAGAAGAGGAACCCAGGGGACAGAGCAGGGGCTCCAGGAAGCTGAGCAGGACCAAGGGAGGCGCGGAATCGTAATAATAATTATAACAGCTCCTGTAACACTGCAGGAGCCCTGTGCTGAGTGTGTACGTGCATCTATAATCTTGTGAGGTTGGTGGCAGCCACCCCATGTTGTAGAGGAGGAAGCTGAGGTTGGAGAGGTTGAGTAACTTGCTGGAAGTCACACGGCTCCGAAGCTTGGGAGGCTGAGTGCCGAGGAGAGGAGAGTGGGAGAGGCTCTGGAATGGCTCTCACCTCCCTCCAGAGCTTACAGAGTAAAGTAAAAGCCATCTGGGGACCTCCCTTCTCTCTCTCCAGGCCCTCACTCTGGGGGGCGAGGAGCTGCAAAACTCCTTCTGGACTCTCCAAGGTTCCCGGACCCCAGTGCTTCGAGGAAGCCCAGGATGCTGTGAGTTCTGTGCCCTCCCTGCTGACGCAGACGGGCCATTGTCGCTCCCTGACCAGGTGTCTGAGTCCCGTGACTCTGTGTCTTTTGTTGCTTCCATGCAAGGGACCAGAACCCCAGGTGAGAGAATCCAGCCTCGGGGTGGCAGCAGCTGAAATGCTTGCAACGTTCCTCCCTGCCTGGTCCCGGGGCCGCCCTGCTGACCTTCAGATGCTTGGGCCTGGGCCTGCGTCCCTCCTGGGTCTGCAGGCACTTGACCCAGGTGGCCCTCTACCTGGCTGTTTCCCTTTGTAGACTGTGAGGGCCTGCATAGGAGCGTGTCTCAGCTGTGTCTTCCCCAGAATACGTTGATGGACAACGTGCACACATGGTCACATGCGTGGACAGATAAGAATAGATAAGATGAGTGGTCAGAAGTGCCCCAGCTTGGAGTGACTGTGACCCCACATCTTTCTCTCCCACATGAGAGCAGTCAAATGATGTGTTCCAGTGGTGGGCTTGCCATGAACTCCCTCTAACTGATAAAAAAGTAAGTAATTTGTGAATGGAATTTTGTTATTAGTAACCCACATGACAGCTGGGCCGAGGCTGAGAGCTGCATCTGGCTCACCCTGGTGCTCTCGGCGCCCAGCGTGGGGCTGGCCGGGAGTAGGTGTTGGCATCAGTGAGGCAGCAGGCTGAGTGGCTGATGGGCTGTTTCTCCCTTCACTCTTTTGCTTCTCAAGCCCTTTATCTTAGTCGGGACTTCCTCAATGGAGAGAGAGAAATTCAGCTCATACTGGCTTTAGGACTCAAGGGATGTCTTACCGGCTCTTATATACCCAGGGGTGGATCTGGCTTCCAGCACAGCTGGATCCAGGAGCTCAGATCATGTCCTTAAAACCTGATCTTTGTCTTGTTCCCTGTCTCCGTCAATTCTCCCCACTGCCTTCCTCTGGGTTGGCTACGTTTTCCTGTTCTCTCCACAGCCCCAGGCTTCCATCCTGTGGTTTAGCGACCCTAGGGAGAAGAGGGGGCAAGTGTTTTGGGAGTGAGTCTTATTGGGTCGGCTTAGGTCTCCTGTCACTGCGGCCAGGAGGGGGGATGCCCAGGTGCTCCCCCTAGGGATGGATGGAGCACAGAGCTGTTTTGTTCAGAAAGAGGCTAAATGGCTGCAGGACAGGCAGGACCCGAAGTGTCCACAGTACCTGTTCAGCATCTCCTGGCTGTGTGGTGCGAGCAGCGGGGTGAGAAGTCTGGGTGTGGAGTGGACGTCCAGTGGGAAGCCAGCGGTCAGACACAACCCCAGATGGTGAACCACATGATCCTTCCTTTCCTGGTGAAGCCGGGGGTGGAGGTTGCAGCCTGAACCGAGGACCACCAGGCTCCTGCTGAGAGCCAGCTGCCTTGGAGGAAAGGACCCCACGCTCTCCACCCCCCAGCTCTGAACTGCTGAAGACCCTGAAGCTGCTCCTGCAGCCCATCCAGGGTCCTGCCTGAGGCCCCTGGAGTATTCCCTGCTGCAGAGGAGTCAAGAAAATGGAAATGCCTGCATCCCTTGTCCACAACCTGGGGGTGGCCCTCCAACACCACAGCACAGATCTGACTCTCGGGGTGGCAGCAGGCCCCAAACAGGAAGCTGCAGGGAGGGTGGGCCAGCGAGGGAGGCCAATGCTGGCAGCCACACAGCTTTATTTCCCCTTCTCCACTGCTTGGGGGCAGGGCAGGGGCGTGGCACCCCATCTGTGCCTCCCTACCCTAGTCTGTTGTAGTGTATGTGTCGCACCCCTCTAAGGTCTGTCATTAGTGAGCACCTGCTGTGTACCTGGCATCGTCAGCACTCGTGCATGTCAGAGATGAGGGCTAGCCTTTAGTTCCAGCTGGAAAGACAAACACATGAGCACAAGGTGCCCCCTCCCACCTCCACCACTGCCCCGTGACACTGCTGACCTCTGTCTGGACACTGAGAAGTATAGATCTGTACCTATGCCTGTGTACATATGAATGCACCTTGTAGGCATGTGTGCAACCTGAGTGTGTGCCTGGGTGTATGTTGATGTGTGTGTGAGCACGTGTGTCTGCATCCAAGTGTGAGCATGTGTCTGTACGGGAGTTGTAGGTATATGAGATGTACATGCAGGTGTCTCTGTTAATGTCTATATGAACCTGCACGTGAGTGTGCAGTACCTGTGTGCATGTGTGTGTGTGTGTCTAATGACATGTATGTGAGCATGCATGTACCTATGTGTACCTGTGGATCCTGTGCCACATGTGTGCAAGTGTCATTACGTGTGTGGGCTGCTTTATCGGGCATGTGCTGAGCTGAGCCATGGTGGAGCAGAAGGCAAAGGTTTCGTCTTGGACAGCCCCAGGAAGTGGGTGTGAGGGGCCTCAGTCTGCAGGGCTCCCTGAGTCTTCTAGCCAGGTCTCTCTCTCTCTCCCCCAGGCACAGTTGTGGGAATCCTCGGGCCTCCTTTGGGTTCTGGGAAGCCAGGGCTGTGTGTGGCTGTGCTGCCAACTCGGGCTGTGGTGCAATCTGCCAGCCAACCCCCTTCCGGAGCTGCGGGTTCCTCTGGGCGTGGGGAAGCTGCCCTTTGCAACCTCTCCTGCCCGTCTTGGTGCCTCCTGGAGGGCAGGACACACCTCCCACCCCACCCCTTCTCACCCACAGGAAATGTAGGTTGGGGGGCAGGCAATGGGGGAGGTGCCACGCTGGGTGCTCCGCCCTACGCTGGTGGCCCGCTGACCCTGCTGCACCACGGCCCTCTCGCCAACAGCCCTGGGAACATCGCTGGGACCAGGGGCCCTGCAGCCACCATTATGTTTGGCAGGAAGCGCAGCGTCTCCTTTGGGGGATTCGGATGGTGGGTGACAGGTGGGAGGGTGGTTGAAGGGGTGGGAGCGAAACTAGCCGTGAAGTCTTGTTGAGCATTGTGGCTGCCTGTGGGAACAGAGGGCTCAGGTTGTGCCGAGACCTGGGTCGGTAGGGGGACAGTGATACTTGGGCTGGATGGAGATGCAGGATCCTGGCGGGGGCATCAGACACTAAGCTTTTCCTCACTGTCCTTCGGTATAATCTTCTAGGGAATCCAGAAGGTTGAGCTGGAGCCAGTATGAATGTGATGGTGTGACTGTGGTTGAATGTGTGTGTCTCTGTCATGTGTTCCCGTATATGTGTATGTGCATCTATGATGATCATGAATGTGTGTGTGCGTGTCTGCCAGTCTGTGTGGCTGTGTGTGAGGTGTGTGCCTGGCTGGGTGGGTGTGCCTGTGCGTGTGACCACATGTGTACCTTGCATTTGTGAGCAGGTGCCAGTCTGCACCTCTGGTCTGTACCTGAGTGTGCTCTTCTCTGTGCCTGTGTGTTATGCTCCTGTCTGTGTCATCTTTGTGACTTTGTGGCAGGGGGAGTCTGTGGCCCGCTGGACCTTGGGGCTGCCCCCTCCCTGCAGGGGTGAGCTGTGAGAGAAGGGAGCAGACCTGTCTCGAGAGGTCCCCCCCACCCCGGGCAGCCAATCCAGCTTTATCCCTACCTGAGCAGCTGGGCCTGCACTCCAGCCTCTTGCCTGACCCTCTGGGCCACCTTTTGCCACTAAGCTTCTGTCTGGGACAAGGGAGAGGCTCTTTCCTCCTCAGGGGCCAGAAAGTGGGGAGACTGAGGTCAAAGGCTTGTCTCTGATTACCAGCTGCTGGCAGCTTCGCCTCAGCTGGAGAACGGGGTCTAGTGGTTTTCATTATCGGTTTCCTTTCAGCTTCTGGGCCTGGGGTGTTGTCACCGAAAAGGTTCCCACTGCTGGGAGGAGGGTGGCAGGGGGGTGTCCTGGTGTGGAAGCTGGTGGGCTAATGGGGGGCATAAGAGTTGAGGGGAAGAGGAGGAGGCACTGGGGGCTGGCGAGAGATGGGCTCTGTTCCTCTGGCTGATTATTTGCCCCCATATATATGTAGCTTCTGATTTCTCTTTTCCTCCTCTTTGAAAGCTCTTTGCCATCCATCCTCTGGCAGGAAGGGGTTATGGGTGCTCCATGTTGGGCAGATGGGAACACTGAAGATGAGATGATACCAGGGGTGGCACAGTGTGTCCTAGTGCCTGCTAGTGGGCCCTCCGTGACGCCCGGGGCCAAGGGGCTGCTGTCCTGAGTGTGGGGTCTGGGTTTGAATCACATAGTTTGCTTCCTGGTCAGGGATGGGTTTGCGAGGCTGGGCTGGGATTCCTGCTGGGCAGGGCCCAGGCAGTGGGATGCTGTCCTCCGAGGCTCACCTTTCTCTGGGAGGTGTGGAGTAGACAGAGGACCCGTGCTTGGTACATTGTACATGCTCTGTAGATGCTTATGGAATGATTAAATGAAGTGTTTTGCCCATGACAGGCATTTGGTTGGGGGCCCACTGAGTTTGAGGGGATGGTAGGGCTTCCTAGTGGGGTTGGAGGGTTAGGGTAGGCATCATCTGGGGATGCTGTCAGCTGGGCGGGGACATCGCAGGTGGTTGAGGGTTAAATTACAGATTCCTAGAGCCCTGGTCCACTCGAGACAGTGAACGGAATCTCAGGGGGTGGTATCTTAAAAGGTCCATTGGATGCCAGAGTGGGTCTCCACTAGCATCGGGGTGGACAAGGTGATGAGAGCGAAGGGGATGGGGCAGGGGAGGGAGGAGAGAGAAAGCACCAAGGAGAACTTGGGGAAAAGCCCAGGGTCACAGCCACTGCCCTATCTACTGTCTCAGCCCTGCCAAGGCCACAGGCCCTGCCCTCCTGGGGCCACACCCCAGCGTGGGAACACTGCAGACAGACTGTAGGTGTGGATGTGGGTGCTGGGACAGAGGCTGCTGTGACCCAGAGTGCCAGCGGGTGGCGTGGTGGTTGGGTTGAGAGGGAGCCACACCAGGAGTCTGGGTTCTGGCCCTGGCTCCACCTTGACTTATTGAGGAACTCAGATGGGCCACTTCCCCTCTCTGGGTCTCAGTTTCCCCATGTGTAAGTGAGGGATTTCTGCCTCACCCACAACACAGGGATGTTGTAAGAATTAAAAAAGTTTTCTTGAGAAAATACAAAATGTAAGGGCTTGTTGTTAGGGATTACAATTGGGTTGCTCTGGGTTACAAATATTACAGCAGAATGTGGGGATCTGACTCCTGGGTCCAACCTCCCCCATCTGGTGGATTGAATGGGAGAGGAGGAGGGTCTGCGTTCCAGAGGGGGTTCAGGGCCCAATGAGACCCCTGGGGACCAGTTGTGGAAGCCCCAAGGAAGGGGCCCAGGAGGTGTGTGGGGGAGAAGCTGGGAGGGACCTGGGCCAGGAGCCTCAGGTGTGGCTGTTTTGCTGTTGGGAACTGAGATCAGAAGGTGCTGGGAGTTTACTCAGAGTGAAAGGATCCCACCCCCGGCTCGAGGGCTTGACACTGACCTGTGATTGCTGGGGCAACTCCGCATCATCACCACGTGGCCCCTGACACCACTCCCCTCCCCCTGCTGGCACCAGTAGTCGTGTGTATAGGAAGCTTGTGGCACAGCTGAGCTGGCTGGACAGGGGTGACCGAAAGAACTTTCCAGGGTTTCAAGCATCCTGGAGGTGGTGGTGATTTTGGTGGCACTGATGGTGATGATGACAAGGGGGTGGGTGGTGGCGAAACTGATCATGATGGTGATACTAAGGGTGATGGTGACACAGGGGGTGGTGGTGACACTGATGCTGATGCCCGTGGTGATGGTGGCAATGATGGTAGTAACGTTGATGGTGATGCTGACACTGGTAGTGATGGTGATATTGGTGGTGATTGTGACCCTGATGGTGATGGTGACAGTGGTTTTGGTGGTGACGTTGATGGTAGTGACACTGAGCAATGGTGACACGGGTGGTGATCGTGACACTGGTGGTGATAACGATACTGGTGGTGATGGTGACACATGCTGATGGTGACACTGGTAGTGACACTAGTGGTTGTGATCCCTAAACAAGAGGAGACACCAACAGTGGGAATCTTGTCCACCTTTCTCTCTCTAGAGAGAGGAAGGGGCCTCTTTTACCAGCCATAAGGGCTGGCATATGCGGCGGGTAAAAATAGAAGCTTAGCAGCACTGCCTTGTCTTTCAGTGAGGGCGGGCGCAGGCTGGGGCGGAGGAGCTGGCTGCCGGGACAGTCTGCCGCAAACGTGATCTTCCCTGCTCTGAGCTCCCATGCCTGACAGATCCCACTGCCCGCGCACCCTGGAGCCTGCTGTCGAGGTCTGTCCCAGGAGTGGAGTGTACCTCCTTGCATGGACTGGCAGCTCCCAGAACAGTAGGGTCCTTGGTGCTGGGGGTGCTGGCATCTTTCCGAAACAAAAGCCCAGGAGATATCGATGTGTTGAATGTCCAGCTGCCAGTGATCGATGAAGCTGGGTTACAGAGTCCTCTTGTGGAGGGCGGGTGATGAAGGGAGAGGCTACATACAAAGTGCTTAAGATTCCTGGGTCTGGAGTCAGATGCCTGGATTCAGATTGGGCCAGTGATTTTACCCTTCTGAACCTCAGTTTCCTCATCTGTAAAATGGGGGAGAATAAGAGTACCCATGTCACAGGGTTATGTGTGGCTCCAGCCCTCACAGAGCTGGAGGAGAACTTCCCCTTGTGGCAGCTGTCCCCTGCAGAATCCTGCCGGTCTGGTGGTCTGGACAGGCCCAGGGACCTCTCCCCTGCAGATGCCAGGTGGGAGCCCTCAGCCCCAGCACTGACTGAAGCCCTTGCTTTTCTCTTGGCAGGATCGACAAGACCATGCTGGCGAGCCTGAAGGTCAAGTAAGTAACTACTTCCTGTTATGTAGAGGTCAGAGATAATGGCAGCTGGAGCTCCTCTGGGGCCCTCGTTCCCTCTAAGTTGTGGGAAACATGAGTGGGGCTGTTGCATTTTTCAGATTCTCCATCTCCACTGGGGAGGGGCTTCTGGATTGGAGGAGGCTGGACCCGGCTTTTGATTCCTGGATTATCTGGGGAAAGGCAGATGCCGGAATGGAAGCAGCAGGCACCAGAATGGCGGGAATGTATATAGCGGTGTGACTTTTAAGCTACTACTTAGGGGTGTAAGAAAGATAATTATATTTTCTATCACCTTAATTTTCATGTGAAGCCCTAGTCCCATCAGGCTGTCTTTCTGACATTCTCACCTATGTGAAAAATTGTGCCACATGGTTCTAGGACCTCATAAAACACCCCAGTGTGTGTGTGTGTGTGTGTGTGTGTGGGGGGGGGTGGTCACTTGGTCACTGAGTCACCAGTTACCAGATCTGTCATCCTGAGCAGTCTGGCCCTGGAGCTCTCTGAGGCTTTCAGCACCAGAGTTGGAGTCTGGGGAATTGTGTGCCTCGGTTTACCACATGTCCGCTTGTCTGTCTAGGGAGCCCTGAGCAGGCACACCTCTGTCCTAGACCCTCCAACTGCTCTTCCTTCACCACCTTCGTTCCTTTACCCTCCATGTTTCTGGCTGAACCATTTTGTCTGCATCCTGATCTTTCCCCCTTGAGACTTAACAAAAGTCATCTTCCATCTGTATCCCTCCCTTGGCCAACGGGTACTGACCAACCACCTGCTCCAACTGAGTGAATCGGAAAGGAGGGAAATTCTAGGAGGAGACATAGCATTGGTCACTAGCTCAGAATATTATCCTGCCACATGGGAATTAGCTTGTGCATGAAAAATTCCTCCTTTGGAGGCAGCTCCTCCTGGTGCAACTCCCCCATCTCAGCTGAAAGGTTTTCCAGGCCAGCCTCTCTTTGCTGTGCCGTTCAGGTGCCAGCACTGACTGTGCATCCTCTGGGTACAGGTCCCTGGGCAAAGCACAGCCAGTCTTGAGAGTTGGCATATAAAAGGGTCAAAATAAGAGGCTTCTCACTCTGGTTTGTTTTGCTTAGAAGGGTGAGAGTGGGCAGTTAGCAGGGCTAGGATGGACAACAAACTGCCCTTGCCCTCCGAGAGCTTCCAGTCTCTCTGTAGAGTTGTCTACAGCGGTGCAGTGGGAGCAGTCCTGGAAGACTGCCAGGAGGAGGTAGCTTCTAAAGCAGCTCTTAAAAATGGGGCAGGACAGTGGGCCTGCCTATGCTGGTTGGCATAGGGTGTGCCTCAGCCACAGCGTTCAGGGCAAGTCGCTCTTGGGCAAGACACTTAACTTCTCTGAATTTCATTTTCTGTATCTTTTGTCCAACGGACACAACAATGTCTGGCCTTCCTAGAGCTTCCCAGAGCTCATCTGTACTTTTTTTTGTGTGTGTGTGAGGAAGATCGGCCCTGAGCTAACATCTGCCAATCCTCCTCTTTTTGCTGAGGAAGACTGGCTTTGGGCTAACATCCATGCCCATCTTCCTCCACTTTATATGGGATGCCACCACAGCATGGCTTGCCAAGCGGTGCGTCGGTGTGTGCCCAGGATCCGAACCGGCGAACCCTGGGCTGCCGCAGTGGAGCGCGGGCACTTGACCGCTTGCACCACTGGGCCAGCCCCTCATCTGCATTTGAATGAGATGCTAGGCATGGAGCAGAGTTACTACAGGGTGTGGAGTGGTAGGAGTGTTTCTTTTGGTGCTGTCTTGGGACATCTAGTTCAATTTCACAAGCATTTATTGAAGGCCTGTTTGTTTTAACTGGTAAAGATAACCTCTATATAACTTGGAAGGGAAGTAGTTACAAGGTGGAGTGAAGGGTTGGGGGCATGGGCCAGTGTTGAGATTGGGCCCAAGTGGGGTCTCTGGGTATCTGGGGGACAGTCCGAGGGCTGAGGCACTGGGGAGGGATGTTGAGATGGTCATTTGAGACAGTGTGTAGGACCGTGTTCCTACTTGTACTTGGTTAAGATTCTTTTGATTGCAAGAAACCAAAACCCAGTGTAATCTGGTTAAGCAAAAGATGGAATTTATGGAAAAAATCCCAGGGAGCCTCAGGGAACCCGGGGGAGGAGGTGGAGGTGGAGCTCAGGAGAGGTTGAATAGGAACTGGAACCCACCCCAGCAAAATCCAGGGGGCTTCTTTGCAGAAATTGATAAGCTGACCCTAACATTCATATTGAAATTCAAGGATAGTCTTGAAAAAGAAGGACAATGTTGGAGGACTGTACTTCCCGATTTCAAAATTTACTACAAAGCTACAGTAATCAAGACAGTGTGGTATTGGCATAAGGATAGACACACAGATCAATGAAAGGGATTTCAGAGTCCAGAAATAAACCCTCACGTTTATGGTCAATTGATTCTCAACAAATGTGTCATGACACTTCAGTGGAGAAAAATAATCTTTCAGTGAATAGGGCTGGGACAACTGATAGGCACATGCAAGAGAATGAAATGGAACTCCTCTCGCAGCATATACCAAGATTAACTCAGAATGGATCAAAGACCTAAATGTAAGAGCTAAGACTATACAACTCATGGAAGAAAACATATATGTAAATCTTTGTAACCTTGGAGAAGGCAGTGGTTTCTTAGATATAACACCAAAAGCACAAGCAACAACAAATTGATAAATTGAACTCCATTAAAATTAAAAACTTTTGTGCTACAAAGGACACCATCAAGAAAATGAAAAGACAACCCACAGAATGGGAGAAAATATTTGCAAGTCATATATCTGATAAGGGACTCATCTCTAAAATATATAAAGAACTCTTACAACTCAATATACAAAAACACAATAACAACACAATGCATAATAACACAGTAATAACACAATTAAAAATGGGCAAGGGCAGACAGAGAAAGACAAACACCATATGATTTCACTCATATGTGGAAGATAAACAAACACTTGGATAAAGGTTACCAGAGGGGAAGGGGGTCAGGTGGTGGGCAAAAGGAGTAAAGGGGCACATATGTATGGTGATGGATAAAAATTAAACTATTGGTGGTAAGCATGATGCAGTCTACAGAAATGATATATAATAATGTATTCCTGAAATTACACAATGTTATAAACCAATATGACCTCAATAAAATAACTGAAAAAAAAATGGGCAAAGGATCTGAATAGACATTTCTCCAAAGAAGATACACAAATGGACAATAAACACATGAAAATATGTTCAGCATCATTAGCCATCAGAGAAATGCAAATCAAAACCACAATGAGATTCCACTTCACACTCACTAGAATGACTATAATCAAAAAGACAGATAATAACAAGTGTTGATGAGGATGTGGAGAAATTAGAGCCCTCATACACTGCTACTGAGAAAGTAAAATGGAGCAGTTGCTTTGGAAAACAATCTGGCAGTTTCTCAAAAGGTTAAACATAGAGTTACCATAAGACCAGCAACTCCTTTCTTAAGTATATACCAAGAGAAATGAAAATATATGTCCATATAGAAACTGGTACACAAGGGTTCATAGAAGCATTATTAATAATAGCTCAAAGGGAAACAACGCAAATGTCCATGAAGTGATGAATGGATAAACAAAGTGTGACATATCCATATAATGGTGTATTGGCCTTCAAAGGAAGGAAGTACTGATACATGCTACAACATAGATGAACCTTGAAAACATTATGCTAAATGAAAGTCAGTCTCAAAAAACCACATACTGTGTGATTCTGTTTATGTGAAATGTCTAGAATAAGCAAATCCATAGAGACAGGAAATAGATTTGTGGTTTCCTAGGGCTTGGGAGGTTGTTAGGGGGAATAAGGGGAGTGAATGCTAAAGGATACAGGCTTCTTTTTGGGGTGATGAAAATGTTTTGGAACTAGATAGTGGTAATGGTGGCACAACCCTGTGAATATACTAAAATCCATTGAATTGTACACTTTAAAATGGTGAATTGTATGGTAAATGAATTACATCTCAATAAAGCTGTTAAAAAAGAGAGAGAGAGAATCTCATTGGCCCAGCTTGTGTCGGTTGTGTACGCCTGGTCCAATCTGTTTAGCTGGAGAGATGGGGTTTTATGGATCAGATACAGCTGCTGCAGCCACCTCTCTGTGTGGGAGGTGTTAGTTCTCAGAGAAGAAAGATGGATTGTGGGCTGGGCAGACATCCTAAGAGGTTTTCTCTAGCCACTCCCACTAGCCTTGGGACTAAAAGGGAGATTAGTACCTGTCCCCCACCTCCACTGACAGTACCTAATATGGAATTCTGCCTGGATGCCCAGGACATGGCTCTGCTCACTGACAGGTCCGTTAGGCACCCAACTGCACATAGTAGGGCTGTCCCAGGCACCGGGATGCCACCTTCCTTCTGCCTCTGCTGGGTGAGACGTCTCTCTACTTGTGCAGCCCATTGATTTCTCCACGGGGCACGGGCTGTGGCCTGTGCTCCCAATTGCTTCGGCTGCTTCCCTAGGGACCTGGTGTCCTTGACATGAAGAAAATCGGCCGTGCAACTCCTGGAGGTGTCTCTGAGCCATCCAGCTCTGCAGATGGGGGTTCTGGTCCCACATCATCGAGCACTTACTATGTGCTCAATTTTCAGTGCACAGTTCCCCTGAGGTTTCACAACCGCCTCGTGAAGCAGCTACCATTACTGTCTGCATTTTATAGATGAGAAAATGGAGGCTCAGAGAGGTTAGGAAACTTGGTCAAGGTCATCAGCGAGTAAGTCATGGAGGTGGGATTTGAATCCAGGTCTGTACGTCATGGCTGGTTCAGTCCAGGCTGGAGCTGAGTAGTTCTCAGCACCTACCCTGCCCTACTTTCTCACTCTCTTTTCCCGATGTGCGTGGGGGCCTCGTACATAGAGAGTCTGCATGCCTTGGCCACAGAGTGCCCCTCTGTCTCCACAGTGGGTGGGTGAGAGGGCCCATCCCCCTGCTGGAGGTCC